GATGTCTAAGAATACAATGATCGTTGGTCTTTGATAGGCACGACGGTGCTCTAGCAGCTGTCGGAGGGTGAAGATTTGATCGATGCATCCACGACCGGAGCGAAACCCAGCCTGCTTGTCAAGCGTGGTATACAATCGGCGGAGAATAATGGACGCCAACAGCTTTGATTAGGCTTATACCCGTATGATTGTCATAGTTATTGCGTGGACTCTTTTCAAAAATGGGGACGACAATCGATTCCCGCCACGAGGAGGGGATCCGCTTACTGTTCCACACTTTAGAGAACAGAACTTGCAGTTCTCTTATAAGCGTTGTTCCACCATCTAGACCTAGCGAAGCCTTATGTGGTGTGCCAATCCAAGTCCCGGGGCTTAGGTTACCGGTTTCCTTGACGGAGCAGCAGGTCGTCGTGGCTATGGAGTTCGCCCCGTCTGCTATTCACCACACAAATGTGTATAATAAAAAAACTGCACCTAAGTGTCTATTTCGCGAAATAATTATAACCATTGCTTATAGTTCCCGTTTAAACGCGTGCACGCTCCTGAATTCCACCAGTTGTGTTGTTCACTTTTTTGCTGAAGAAGTTCGAATGCACCGTTAATCTGGTGCGCATTTTCTTTATCTTTTAGATGTGCCCTCTCATGCTATTTTTCAACTTTCAAAGAGCACCATCTGATCGATTCGAGATAGGTCCTTCCTAATTTCAAATGTCTCTGTCAACCCACCTCAAAGTTTTCTTTCTAAGGCAAGCAGTTTGCGATCCTACAGTCCGTTCCTATACCGCTTGAAGTCTCGAACGATTTCAAAGTATAAAAATGATACTAACTGGCGGCACGTAAAGGCAGTAAGGCAGTGTGCCAGGGACTGAAAACCTTAGTTTCGCAAGACCCAAATGTGTTGTTGTCCTTGTGTGTGACCATACGTAGAATACTGCCTTTAAGCATCGTCATCATACATAAAGTGCGACTGTAGGGTTATGAAGGCGCTGCAACGCAGGTTCACGAGGTGCTTTCTCCAAATTTGGTGATAAAACCACCAAACTCAGCTGTATAGTCTGAACCTATTCTCCCTGAAAAGGAGATACTTAAGGGGTGAATTAGGAGCATAACAGATACGAGTGCTCCGATTAGGCGGGCACTCATGAAAAGGCCTCTATCCAGAATGGAGGTTTGCGTGCAGCTCCTTACAAACCATGTGGTGAACAGCTGGACTAAACTCCGGGAAGCATTGATCATAGTAGCAAATCTGGTCAAATTAATGTATAGACTGGATGACAGCCGTTCGTGCTCTTCTTGAGTCAGAACTAGGGTGAGAGCTAAACGCGTTGCAGCGTGGTTCAGTTCAGTTCAGTTCAGTGTTTACAACCATTAACCATGCACTTTCTCGCGCCGGTTTTGGTGGCTGTCTTTTAGTGCCCCATTTGGATAAAAGAGCAGAATGAAGATTGGAATGTTGAAAGCAAATTCAAGCTGAATAATTTACACGGAGTGGTGTTAGGACAATAATGAGTAGACGCACGAGCGCCACAAATCATGACACCCAGCCATACCACTCAATATCTCTAACCGCCGGTTACGACAATTCCGAGGTCCCCAGCCAGGGGGCCTAATGGGACTTATGTGACTTAGTCTCCTGGTTAGGGTTTTAGTCCACTCATGCTAGGTCTTACTATGATCACCCTTGGCTCTTTTCCACCAAATACAGTACTGGCCGATTGTGATGCACCGAAATATTTTCTTTATGATCAAATTGAGTTTCATTATATTTATCACGTACATTATTGTTTTAGGTATGAACAATAATTTATATCTTGTCTACTTCGATCTACGTAGTTTCTAGTTTACGTGAGCGTCAATTAAACATTCCTGACCTTGGTTGCCAAGATTAAATAATCTCAACATGAAAGTCGCAAACATTATCAAGTATGAAAACAATATTTTCTAATAGGAATGATTCAAGAATTATCTCAAATTATTTCCCTAAACCCTTGCCATCTCTTTTGTTTGTTATGAGGCATTAGTTATCTAATATATAATCTATTATAGCAACTCTATTGAATAACCAAATGAAATTCTTTCACAACCCGGAGAAATGGCATTAAGTAAGGTTTCATACTAATCTACGTTTGATATCTAACTCACTGAACCCACAAGTGTTTCATAGGGACCCGCTGCTTCAGTTACGATTAGACCTGTACTTGCCTCAGCAAACATCATACATTGTGTCCACCTAGTTGGTGACATGCGCGACACATGTCCCAACCAGCGTAGTCTATGAGGGTTGTTGCAGTGGACGACTGCTATTACGTAAAACTCTGCCCCTAACCTCAGCAGTGCTCGTCTGACTGCCCATCAGATCCGTGCAATGCTGCGTAGAGAGCGATGTTCAAACGCCTACATCCTGTCGGTTTTCTCTTTTATCCTGTTTTCTTAATGGCCAAGTTTCTGCGTCAATCTACCCGGATCGCTGTAGCCGCTCCGGGTTGGAGAAAACCCGCGTGGAGGTCAACAGATGACGTGGAGACGAGGCATGAAGAAACGCACAGAGCAATTAGGTAGAGTAGGTGTCTCTCGCCTTCCAGGTTGGGGTCCGAAAGACTCCACATCCGGCTGGTTGGAGACATTGAAGAATATGGCAGCGAACCGACAGCAGTGGCTTTCTTGTTATCATTTATTATCAGGTCAGAATGCTCGAAGCGATATGTATGCAGTGTTCGATTGTGCACTCTGTGTTGACCATAGTGGCTCTCCTTCTTCCCCTCCCTCAAAGTAGTTCCAATCCCTGTCCACCTTAAATTTCACCACTAACCTTATCTGCATTGCGAGTTTTGGTAGCGATCAGTGAAGTTTGTCTTACTGTATTTCGCTGTACGATGATGATGATGATGATGCGCCATATAACAGAACTGGCCGAACTGCAGTAGCGTACACTTGACCCTTCACGAACAACCGGATGTCTCGGCGGTACCACAAATGTCTTAAGTTGGCAAACGCCAATCGAGCCTGCGAGCTGACCCCTCATTCGTGATGCATCTGCTCCCCAAATAACGAAACTAATCCACTTGCTCTATTACTTCCCCAGTTAGAGTGAGGCTCGACGCTGGCCCAACTCAGTCTGGTAGCAACATTTTATACTTTGAAGGTGAAAAACGCATACTGAACATGGATACATTAGCACTCAAACTTTGCCTTACCTTGATCTTCACTTAGCAGTACAATATCGTCCGCATACTCCAGATGAGACAGTCTACCACCTGAAAGGAAATCGATATCGATATCCTCGCACGAGGATAGGGTTATTCCCATAGTAAATCTATAACAAAGGTGAATAGAAAAGGATAGGGCAACCATGAAGAACACCACTTTCCGTGGTAAACTCGGGCGAAAAGGTGCCGTAAACTCGGACTCGGTTTTGGCTATTTGTATAAGGGGATTGTAATATTGAAATAAACTTCTCGGACACACCCTTCAGGGAAAGGCAGCGCCAGAGTTTAGGGCGGTCGACTGAGTCGAAAGCCGATTTCAGATCGAGAAAGACAGAGATGGTGGGTCTACGAAAAGAATGTCCGTGCTCCAGAACTTAGCGAAGAATGGAGATGTGGTCGATACGACCTCGACCAGATCTGAAACCAGCCTGTTTCTCACGCGTGCACTGTTCACGTGCGGCAGACAATCGACGGAGTATGATGCCGGAGAGAATTTTAGAGACAATGCTAATGAAACTATATGGTTTTCACAGGAGGATCTGTCACGTTTCCTGTGAATTGATTTTATCAGTCGCGAGTATTTCACCCAAATGATATTACCTTCACTTTCGTTCATTTTGATTGATAGTTGCATTGTGATTTTTTCATTTCAGAGCATTCTTCAGCAAACTACTTGCTTAAATAATTACACTGAATTCGAGAACGTTTTAATAGAATGACGAGTATATTGTATTTTTACTGTGTATAACTTTTTCAAGCACCAGATATCACGTTTCAGTTAAAAAAATCATACACACCAACTGTCACAAGGTACATAAACAACTAGGAGAAATTTTTTCAGACATGGGGGTATTTCATAATCCAAGGTTAAAACAAAGTTCACTTGTTTCCTTCTCTCTGTTTGCGAGTAAACGAGCAAGATACGGTATAGGGGAGTTTCAGTAAGCGTTAATTGGAGACGAAATTTGGCGGAATGGGGAGCGTGTGGAATGATGGGAACGACAACGTGACAGTTCTGCGTACAATGGGTGGTCAGGATCTCTGACAATCCTCTCCGCGAATTTCACGCAAGAAGTTATATGATACTCCGAAAGCTTAACAGTGACAATGACTAAGTGATATTTGAAGCGACTTTGTTCCTGACTGACTGACTCTAATCGTATCAGAGCCCATGGTATTTATAGAAAACCTCCTTTTATTTCCAGATTATTTGTTGCGGTCCTTCGTTCGAAATAAAGAAAATCTTGAATTCCCGTCACTCGCTTGATTTGATTAGATAAACGACTGTAGATATCTCACTTTATCATGGTGACAGGTAACCGTTTCAGTCTTTATTATCAATAACTCACCTTTGCCTAGAAACTATTCATCAAGATAACGGTGAGTCAAATGATCTGAATTCAGACGAAGCTATTCAAGCCCAACAAGAAGCCATTGAAAGTGATGTAGGTTGTCCGCTAATCGGATTTACTGCATTTCACTTAGATCAAAGCAAGCTCTCCACTCATATCCGATGTTCTTCCACTGAGCACCTTAAATGAAGACTTCTCGGGACATGCTGTTTATTTAGGGAAATTAGATGTAAGTCAGTGATTTATCGCCTTCCTTTATGTCAAAATAGCACCATTTTTATTTCCAAGTCGAATCCAGAATCCACTTTATTCATCTATCGTGGACAGGATTTTCAATGAAAAACTCATCACTGTTGCTTTGGCGTACATGTAAATGAAAGGGATTTAGTGATATAACATACAGTAAAAACGCAATGGTGATAAGCAAGAGCACGTAGTGGAAGTAGAAACTGCAATATGAATTACATGCGATTGTATTTCAGTTCATTTGATATTTGTTTCCTGAAAACCAATAAGCGAGAAAGATAAGGTACAACAGGATTGTGAAAATCTGTGGTGCGGGTGCACACAAGTTAAGTTTTATTGCGGATGACGGGAGGAGAGATGAAGCACGAGAGAGTTGGATGTAGAGAATATGATGCATCAGACAGGATTGAGTTACAGAGTCACACGGTTTAAGGTGTTACTTGATCACCACAAAAGGGAAATGCTTTGCAAAGTGCGACTAGTCAATATGGAATCCTTAGGCAACAGACCAGGGACGGTAACAGAAGAACCGCAAGTCCGATGACAACGCACGAGGGAACAAATTTAAAATAACGTACAACGGCACTCTCAGTTGGGATATGTGAAACGTTAACTTTCTTACTCAAATAGATGTTTGTTGCATGTAGTAGGACTGTTTGAGGTCAGCAAGCATATAACATCTAAGGTATCTGAAGTGCTGTGACCTTTCACCGTTTGAGTTGTTACCCAGTATGGTGGGAAAGAGTAACCCGGAAAGTGTAGATAGCCTACAATTAAGGGAAAGGTTAACACCGTCGGACCATTCCGAAGTGGAAATTACGCGTGATTATAGACGGTCGATCAAAGAATTGTTGTTGGATTCGCCTTCCAAATACTGTGTTGCGGGCATACCCGAATGTGAAAGCAGGTGAGGCGAGTGGTCAATTTTGAATGTAAAGGGAGAAAAAAGGGATTGAGGAAGTAAAATTGCCCCTTACAATACACCTTGGTTTACGCAGGCAGTGCAAGACCTAATACCAGTAAAATAGTCGTGCATCGTAGTGAACTGATGTGGTGGGAGATTGTCCTGATTTCAATGTTTTTTTCTGTAAGAGCGTTTATATAGTCCAGAAAGCAAAATTGAACAGGCTTATATATATATTTCATACACCGCTAAGACCAGACTGTGCCAAATTAATCATAGTTCAATAATCTTTATGAAAAAGAAAAACGTTCCATGATTTCATGTGGGCCGAACATTCCCAGGTTACTTAGACCAGGGCAAGTGAATTTTCTTGAGGAATCCACCACCTGTGTCTTCGGCTTACCAAAGCCTAAGCTGCAAGGCAAAGGGGTGGTGTATGAAAACCGTAAGAGGGGCGGTGTCCAGTTCATCGGGATCGTACGCCCTTTGGACNNNCTGCCACAACCGGGTAGGTATGGGTATGTGTGGTTCATACACCTCTTGGTTGGTTTGGAATCAGGGTTTTTGACCAGCTCCTGTCAGTGGTCCACCAACCTGGTTATAGCCCCGGATATCGGCTTTTCCTCTTCTCCTCTGGTGGGCAAACACCGCCACGAGAAGGCAGTGAGTAGGGCTTCCTCAGCAGAGGCTATTAGAGACGCTTGGTCGTATGGAAGCATTTCGCGAGGTGCAAGGGAATGGTTACCAGCCGCCACTCCAGAAACCCACCCCGACCATACTGAGGCTTTCGGAGGCTCTTGTGTTTTTGTTCGACCATGTTTAAAACGAGTGTAACACAAGCAACCGCATCTACAGTAGTTCGACGCCGGAAATGGGGAAACTGGTTCGAATAAAAAAAGATCATCAGAATGGGAGGAGCCTTAATAACACTTCGCTCAAAAGTAGCACTTGGGATGAAGGAATTGGCCGAAATTTTCTCTTTTCTTTCTTAGGTACTGCTATGACGTGAATACGCTATGCATCAGCTAGTCTTCCTTCCGACAGGTATTTATGAAAAATGAATGAAATCTTTGGTGTCAGCTGGTTCTCACGTCTTTTTAAGACAACAGGGGATAACCTCTCTGGAATAGAGGATGATATGGTCATATTCGTGAAGATTCCGCTCCGTCCGAAGCTGCGTCAATCATGTCAATCATGCTGCATCAAATCCGTGAGCAACGTCAAAGGTCCAGTAGACCGACCATTGTTGTCTTTGGGACATACTTGGTGCACTTGACTCAGTTGATCGAGCAGTTCTCTGAAACTGTCTGTTGGAAGCGGTGTATCCGAGAAGTACGTAAGCTTTTTCAAAACCGTATGCTAAAAATTATCAAACCGCGTCAACGTCTAGGATCGCGATTTTCCTTCATCTAGCATCACAAGCGGAGTCCGACAAGGATGCTCGGTTGCACCGTTCCTCTTTAATTTCACAAAATCNTTAATTTCACAAAATCCTAAGTGGTTCTCTAGAAAACAGCAGAGCTTCCGGTGTGGAACTTCTCCCAGGTGATCGACTCCGCAACTTGAAATATGCTGACGACATCGTTATACTCTGCAGCTTCTCCGAAAACGCCCAACATATCCTGTGCAACTTAGCGTTTTCCGTCACGCAATTTGACATGACCTTTTCTCTATCAAAACGTAAGGTCTTAATACAAAACTGGCAAGAGGCTGTGCCTATCCTCACGTTCATGAGCGACCAGTTGGAACTCGTCAATCTCCGGGGTTGTTTCAGCTCAAGAAGACTGGCAGAAGAAACATCTACTCGTATCCGCAAGGTCCGGGTGGCTTTCACTAACCCAAATCACTTATGCCGACGCAATCTCAATCTCTCCCTGAAGGGCTGCATGTATAATGCCGCAATACGCGCTGTTTTACTCTACGGCTCTGAGATTTGGCCCCTCCACGCAGAAGTCCCATGGAGATTAAGTGTCCTTGTCCACCGTTGCCTTCGTTGCAGTGCCAAAATACGTTGGCAACAGTGAATCACCAACGATAATCGTCACCTCAGGCAATCTCAGTTGTCCTATTGTAGGCGAGCTGGCTGAGAAAAACGTCTATTGATCCTATTCGAAAGCAAACAGTGAATGCTTTCGATTATAAACAGTCAATTCTCAACCGCGCGGCGGGATGATTCATGTCTCTTTCTGTGGGCCATTCCTTGTTGGTTTTGGTCCGCAATTGGCACGTACGTTGCCTCTTCTT